ATTCAAAATATCCCTACTCTCCAAGATTTTCATAGGGGACTCAGAGGTACTAAGAATAGTGCTGGAGGTTCTGACGGGCTACACGGTTTGTTTGTGCGCGCATGTGCTAGTGCATTGGCTAAGGCATACTATCCATTGTCTGAGTCTGTCAAGGCTGGCCATCTTATATCAGAACCTTTACACTCGGATGGCGGAGATTTACCTAGAATGCCTAAGGCCAAGGGCAATGCCTATACTACGACAGCATCAATATCAATTCTAGTTGCTTCGCACATAGACAAGGCACATCACGCAAATCCACGACGCAAGTTAATGCCAACAATGCAACAGGCAATGGTTGACCATCAGTATGCAGGTATACCCGGCAGAGCAGAAATACTCACACAAGGCTGGATTGTCTGGCCGTGCTTTTTGTGGACGTTATGAACGCCTTTTTCATTGCTATTCGGGAGCTTGTGCTCAAGACAGATCACGCGCCTGAGTCCTTAAAGGCGTTGCTGGCAGATGCTGGGCTTCCAGATGCACACTTAGCATTGCTCGCGCAACGACTTCAAGAATTGCCGTGTTTGCAACGACATGACCTCAATGATCACCTTATTGGTTTTGGTCGAAGAGGCTTTCCGGATGGGATGGTTTTTATTCCCTGGGGCCACGCGCGCTGCTGTGACTTTCCGAGGTACTCGTCCAGGGACAACGTTTGGAGATGCACTGTTTCTCTTCATCATTGCTGAGGTCATGAACTGTGTTCGCCCTGTACGCACCCTGGTGTTCATCGTTGTTGAGGCGATGGACATCATGTTCACCCTGGACGCACCAGGAGCGAACATCTTTGAGGATGCTGCCGGCAACTCTAAGGTATTTGTTCCGGATCAAGTTTACGCAGATAATTCCATGCTTGCGTTCCTGGCTTCTCTGGAAGTATTCAAGCGGCACCTCGAGAAGATTTTTGCAGGATCGCAGTCAACTCTTTTGCCCCTGCAGGTCTTGTTCCCCGCCTGAAGGCGGGGCAAACTGAGATTACGCTACGTTTGCATGGTCCTGGATCTGCTGCGTTTCGGTAATATGTATTTCATACAATTGGTGCGCGCTTGCCTGTGCGCATGCTCGTGTGTAGTGGCACTCGCGCAGGTCAGTATATTTCGGTGCTGTGCTAATGGACCGGGCAGTACTTGGCCCTGAGCTTGTTCATGGAGACGTAGAGGCACGTGTGCCACTTTATGCACTTGAGCAGGGCGTGTAGACAAGCATCTAGTGATACATGTTTACCCAGACTGGTCTTTACAAATTCGCTAGTACTGAACTCGGCGCTGTATGGAGCAGGAACATGGTGCGATTTTTACGGAAGTGACGTGGTTACTCTTAGAACTGCTCACGCTAAAAAGTATAGAAGGGTCTTACGTCTTCCTAGGTTTGAAGCGCACGGACCTACGGATGAGGAAGTCATGGCTATTGCTGCTCGCCCTTCTATCATAATAGTGCTTCGAATTTTCGTCTGCGTTTGTTGGGTCAAGTTTTGAATGCGGCCCCAGGCCCGCTACTGGCACTTCTACACTCAGAACACAAACAAGCACATGGCACGAACAGGAGGTCTTGGTTACATCATGTCCAGGATGACTTGCTGCGGTTGAGGGCTAGCCACCACTCCCTTGTTCCTTTTCCCACCCCAATTGCGGACCCTCAGATGTGGGTTAACACGGTCAAGTCATCACCGCAGGCATGGAAGCGTACCCTGGCTGAGGCGCTCAAGGCTTGCGCCGAACAAGCCAGAAGGGATGTGGATGGGGCTCGGTGGCAAAAAAAGGTGTTGCCGGATTTGCAAAGAGCGGGCCTTCCGCCAGCCCGAGATGTTCAGGATGACCCGCAAGTTCCAGAAATGAGATGCCCATTTTGTGAGTTTGAAACTTTATCCGTCCCGTCCTAGGGTACACACATTCGCTCTTTACACGTTGCGGTGATAGGGCTGACGAGACGGCACGTGTCTGGGCCGACATGTGCCGCTTGCCGCCGCACCTTCTCCTCGAGGCCCCCCCTTCTCAGACATGTCACCTCATGGAGACCTTCTTGCTTTTTTTTTCGTTTGATCAACGTACCTGTTCTTTCAAGCGAAGAACAAGAAAGGTTGACTTTGGAAGAGCATCAAACTAACCAGCAAGCACGTAGGAGGGGTTAGTCCACCTCACATGCACATATGCCGTCACGTGTGCTTCCAGGCCCCATCGATCCAGTCGCTCAGATGGTGCGGGGCATGTACACACGTGGGCAGGCGCAGTTACATATACAGAACACACTCCAGCATGTCACAGGTTGGTCTAGGCAATAACTACAGCAATTCGAGGTAGGACAGCCAGCTCCCGGATCCGTCCGCGGTCTTCTCTTGGTTTGGCCTTTTCGAGCGTGAGGCCTACACTGGACCCCTTGCAGACCCCGTTCCACGTATATTGATGCGTAGGACGATTTTTAGTGCTAATCTCTTTTGCGGAAAGCGGCGCCAGGGCGGCCGTTGAGATAATGCTAGAAACTATTCTTCCGAATGTAGAGCTCAGGTGTTTGCCTTTTGATATCATCATAGACAAAGAAGCGGGCGACCTCAGCAAGCCTGCCACAGGAAGTTTTTGGATTGAACACATTCGGGCAGGCAGAGTTGCTGCAGTAGGAAGGGGGCCTCCGTGCGAAACTTTTTCGGCTGCACGTTGAAAGGACGGAGGCCCCCCTCCGCTGCGTTCCTGGGCTGCACCATGGGGCATAGAGGCCATCATCCCTAGGCAGCGGCTTCAGGTTCAGATCGCGAATGTTCTATTCATGTCACACATCGAGTTGCTCTCGGTATGTGCTGAAGTAGGAAGATGTGGGTTGGGAGAACATCATGCTTCCCCTGTCTGGAAACCGAGAGCTGCTCCGTCTTGGAGCTTTAGGCCTGCCAGAGCTCTCGCCAGTGCCCCGTGTGCCTCATCTACTGAGTTTGACCAGTGCGAATTCGGACAGCTGGCGGGCAGGGCACCCACAGGTATCCTTGCTATACGTCTAGGGACTTTGCCTGACATGTTGCTAAGAACTCCTGGAGGGGCAAGTGTAGCCACGGACCCAGAGCTCACAATACTTTGCTCGGACGGGATTCTGACAGGAAGACTTTCAGAACTGCCCCCAAGAAAGTCGATCCGGAGGCGATGTGCACAGTTTTAGGTCAGGCTCTTCTGAATGTAGTGTTGCCTTCTGTAGATTTTGTGTTTAGGAATCAGACCACACAGAGACTCTAGCTCTACGTAAGTTGTTTGTTGAGTCTATTCGGTGTTCTTCGGACGCTCCTGAGATGGGTCCTGATTTCGCCGTGGCTAGATCGACGAGAGGAGAGTCGACCATTGCACACATTAGGAAAGCTCTCGACCTGACCACAGGTGACGAGCCTGCCAACGATGATCAGGATTTGGAGAACTCTCATTCGATTGCCATCCTGTCTGCTGTTGAGGTTCGGCCGATTTTACCATCTCAGGACAGACGAGAGGATTCCACTTCGTCTGTTTCCCCATCCCCCTAAACCTCCCCCCTGTCTCTCCCAGTCACTGCTTGATAGAATAACAGAGAATCGAGCAGAAACTCTCAGACGGAGAAGTGCTAGAGAGGCTGATGCAAGACGGTTCCCCATTGCGTCCATGAACCTGTTCGGCGAGCATGCTAGAGACATGAGTTCGTCGAATCGGGATTTCGTCCAGGCTGATTTGCACCAACGGTTTCGAGCTGCTACACGCACTTGACTTCAGGAGGTTAGGGTATGATTACATGTGAGGTGGAGGAGGAGGATTTCTGATGGTGTGTTATTATCTTTATTCATCACAAACGTGCCTTGGTTAGGCTTGTGCAGCACGATTTTCATATGTGCGCCGTCGAGTTGGCATGATTTGTCTTTCTTCTTTTTGTATGCGAGAGAGAGAGAGAGAGAGAGAAAGAAAGAGAGCAAGCCGCAGCAGCAGCGTGCTCGTGCTTCATGACTTGCTTTCTCCCCCCGTGCCATCCGTCCCGATGGGTCGGGAACACCTACATCGGCGAGGCGCGCCGCGCGTGCCTGCCCCCCGCCTATGAGGAGGAGGTGGGAGATGGGTTGATTATGATGAATTGTGATTGGGTGGGGGTATGTTGGGCGTCAGGTGCCCTGTCATGTATCTTTGCTCGTGCTTCCACAGTCGAGTTTGTCGATAAGGGTCACATCACTTGGACCCCACGATCGGATACGCCTGTTTTGAACAGGCCCGTGGCTTCTTGTGGCACACTTGGCCGCGACACGCCCCCGGCAGAAGCTGACTGCAGCTGATCCGATCCGATCCGATCCTCCTCCGCTTCCTCTCCTCCCACCCCTGCTGAGGCTGACTCGAGGCCGAAGCCAGCCGCATCAAGGTTGCACGGAGACCCGGGGTGTCTCAGCGGCCCGCGGGCGGGGACGCAGCGTCCCGGGCGCGCGCCGACTGCTCGCTAGGAGTCTCCTCGAGCAGCCTGTGCGCGGGCGCCTTGCCGAGCCCCGTCGGCGAGGACTTCGAAACGCCAGTGCGCCATGACTATATATACATGAGCTTAGGCTGCTACCCGTGCCAAGATCACTTTTCCTTCGGCATGCTCCGCTGCTTCGAAGCAACTCAAGAGAACGAGCGGCAGGCGGTGACAGGGCAGCACGAGGGCGCTGACCTGACCAGACTGAGCGAGCGGCATTCAAGACTCTGAGCCCCCTGGGTTGGCGAAGTGACGCCCAGGAAGGTGGAAGATGGGGACGGCAGGCGGGTCCTGGAAAAACTTGAGCATAAGTTGCGACATACGGCACTGAACGCAGCAAGAGATCATTAATGTGCAAGCACAACGCATGAGTTTAGGCTGCTACCCGTGCCAAGATCACTTTTCCTTCGGCATGCTCCGCTGCTTCGAAGCAATTCAAGAGAACGAGCGGCAGGCGGTGACAGGGCAGCACGAGGGCGCTGACCTGACCAGACTGAGCGAGCGGCATTCAAGACTCTGAGCCCCTACCCACTGCCATCCAGTGTCTTGGCCTTGGCCACCACCAGCGCTGCGAGATCTTTGCAGAGCGCCGCGGGGTAAGGACGCGCTCTCGAGGTCCAGAACACACCGAGCGGGTCTTTACCCTTCAGTGTTATGTGCGCCTTACCAGTGGCACTACACCTTTTTTGACAGCCTGTACACAGGCGGAGGGACGGCTGCGCTGGCAGCCAATTGGATAGCAAAAAGGTTGTCGACTTTTTCCAGGGGACCTGATACTGGCAGTAATCAACAGAAGCCCACTCGGCGTGAGCTTCGCGGGCCCTGTCCAGAAGTTCCGGGACCAGCCAGAGGCGAGACGAGCGAGGGTTCTCGAGAGAGAAAGGGACTCCCGCCTCGACGGCAGCAGCCAGCAGGCGCAGAACATTAGCGAGCAGACGATTGGCGATCCTAACCTTCTCAGCGTCCGCCGCCGCCAGCCGAGGGAGGCCGTGCACGTTCGCGTCGTCCCTGAGTGGCGGCGGACCCCGTCCATCATTCTTCCTTGCCCGGCTCCACGTTTTGCAGTCCAGGCCAACATGCACCCCCGCGACCTCCTTCCGTGAGATCCTCAATACCAGACTGTCGATGAGGGATTCATCAAGAAGGTCGGCTCGCGGGTCATCAGCGTAGTCCCAGCCTTCCGAAGCCCAGCCGGCGGCGTGGACGGCCTTGGCAAAGGCGGCGGAGCCGCACATGAGCTCGACGAAAAACCTGGCACGGGCGCGGGCTGCGGCACCTTGGCAGAAGGTGCGGGGCGGCGCATGCTGGGCGCGGGCGCCGCCTGCAGCCGCGCCGACGGCGTGGCCGTCCGCGGCCTCTGGGGCCGCGCCAGGAGCCTCTCGAGCTCGGCGTGCAGCTTCGCGGGCGCCGCCTCGGCCCTGCGGCGGACGTCGTCCGGGGGCGCTGCGAGCTCCTGCTGCGCCAGCGCATGGGCCTCGTAGCGCTTCATCGTGTAGTCGCTGGCCCACCGCCCGCGCCTCTTGATCTCGCCCATGGATCGATACCTCTTGAGGCGATCGTGCGACGGGCCCCCGTGGCGGAGCTGGCAGGGCACGTACCTGGTGGGCACCTCGGCCCGCTCCAGCGACTGGCGCCACAGGACGCCGAGCTGCGCGGCGGTGAGACGGAACAGCGGCGCCTGCGGGTCTCCCGACCTCGCGCGCGCCAGCAGCGGGCCCAGCCAGGGCACCTCGACCGAATCGAGGAGCAAGCTCACGTCCGACATGCTGGTCTTGCTGTACTCGCCCCTCGCGCTGGGGTGCAGGTTGAAGCCGTAGTCCGTGCGCGAGCCCGAGGGGAGGAAGAGGTCCTGCTCGCGCAGGCCGACGGCCTCGGAGGGCCTGAGGTACACCCAGAACATCGTCATCACCATGAGCGCCGCGTGCGGGGACCCCAGCTGCGTGGCCATCACCAGTGCGACCAGCGCGACCACCTGCCAGGGCATAGGCGGGCGCGTCTGGCCTGGGTCCAGGCGCTTCCAACCCTGGAGGGCCCGACAGAAACGCGGCAGGCGGAGCGACCTCTTTCGGGAAAAGTCGGGGTGCGCCGAGATGTACGCGGCATATGTTTTCAGGACGGCGGCTCTCTCGAGCCCGATGCTCCAGGCGTAATCGGCGTAGTTCATCAGCGCCAGGTCGACTTGAGCAGCGGTGCGCAGCGGCAGCCCGAAGAGGTCCACGAACGTCTGGAAGTCGTCGAGGGCGTCCTTGTAGTATCCCTGGGTCTCGGGCGCCACCGCGTTCCACTCCAGGAAGCTCCTCTCGTCCTCCCCCACCATCGCGAACGGCCCAGAGGCCCGCAGACGGTGAGCGATCCTCTCCTCCTTCGTCGCCCCCACGAACGTCCTGCCCTTCAGGAAGCTCTTCTGCGCAATCTTGGGGCTGGCAGCCGGGCGCTTGACGGGCGCCGCGCGGGGCAGGCGAGATACCTCCCGACTTGGCATCCCAGCGCCTCGACCCTTCATCGGAAGGGTTGAGCTCCGAAGGTATCCACCGATGCTCGAACCGCGACGCAGTGGCGACGGAGTAGGCAGCCTCTCTGCGGCAGCACAGCAGAAGGGGGTAGGAGGAGCATCGCCCACGTCCGAGCGCGAGCACGGTGCCGAGGTTGTCCCCGAAACGCAGATGACGGAGACCAAAAGAGGCCTGTGCCCATGTGATATGACGTGATGTCATGTTCGAAGCCCTCCCCTCGATAATCGTGATGGGCTCCTTGACGTGAACCCTGGCCGAGACCACCTGCTTCCACTGGGGGCCTTGCAGAGCCTGGACGGGCACCTCTGTGAACTGCGGGTTGAGCTCCCAGGGGTCCTTGACAAGGTCCATGCTGGTACTCCTGGGGGCCTTGACGGTCTCGACGTCGCTGAAGACGTCGAACGGCCCCTCCGAGGCCTCGTCGCATCCAGAACGGACTCCCAGAGCTGACCGGCGTGCCGAGATAGCCGAAGGCATGCGATATCTCCATCTCTCACTGACTGACCCGATGCGCTTGACAAGATCCGATGACAGTGTTGTCTGGCACGTCGCCATACCCGTCAGGCAAGCGTCTTAGGCGAAGACAGTCGGCGACCACTGAAGCCGAAGGTTAGCAGACATCAGCGGCAGCAAGCGACGGCACTGCTCGACTTCGCGGGCAGCTGAGGGCCAGAGACGTGCTCGCACGTGATAGCAATCTCTGACGAAATCATACAAACTCCTGAGGATCGAGAGCAGCTCCCTCTTCAGCATCAAATGATCAATGAGATGACCCACATACCTCTCCACCTCCCTCACCGTGACTCTAGGGCGCTGCTCTAGCCACAGTGAGGCCTGGCGGAGGCGCTCGGAGCGCTCGGGCCGTGAGAAAACTCGCCCAGACGCGCCGTCGATCAGGCGGCCGAGGCCGGTGAAGACGTCGGTGGCCTCAACCACCTCGTGGATCTGCACGCCATGCTTCCTCCAGGCGTCGCAGATCTGGTGCATCAGGACATTGCATTTGTCAGGGTCAGTGCCGATCACGTTGATGTTATCGCAATAGGGTAAGAGGCAAGGGCCCCCCCGTCGAGCGGGGGCACCGGACCGTGATCGGTCAGCACCCGCGGGAACCCGAGCCCCGAGGCAGAGCAGCGGACGCGCGCATTCGCACGCTGCCCAAGCCAGAAAGCCCAAGACCAGCCCATCGGCACGACCCGCAGGAACGGCCAGACCCAGCCCCCTGAGGGGCCCTCGGGAGTGTCCACTGCCTCAACCCCCCATTGCGACAACGAAGCCTGTGACACCAGCGGCAGCGAGAAGAACAGTCCCAGCTCCTCCCTCAGGCCGAGAGCGTAGAAGTAGTTGCGCACATCCGCCTGGGCACAGAAGAGCTTGGTGCTGAAGCTGCCGCCCTCCTCACGATCATCAGGTAGCTGAAGGCGTCCGTGCGCAGCCGATGTCCCCATGGCCAGCGGCGGCGGGTCGCGAAAACGTCGATTTGGCACTCTAGCGTCCCAGACGAGACGCTGTGCTCCACTCTTCTTGGCCACGAAGAAAGGGGTGACCAGGTCCTTCGGGCGGTTCGTGAACCCCAGCATGTTAGCCTTCACCAGGTCGCCGATGAAGGTGTTGTACGCCACAGGGTCACGCTTCAAAACTTCGCCCATGTAGGGAGTGACGGGCGGCTCGCTATCCAAGACGCGGGACCACTCGTCGGGAGTCTTCATCATCGTTTGCTCGTAGTCCAGCACGTAGTTCCTCCCGATCCCGTCGAGCACCGACTCGACAGGAGGTATGACCGCACCCACTTCTGGGATGTCGACTCGGGATCTGACGTACCTTACCACGGGACTCGGTGCCTCGTCCGCGGTGTAGGACAGGCTGGAGGCCAGGAGCTCCTTCGCGGCTCCACGGCGAGAAAATTGAGTGTCAGACTTCGGGGCCATCCTGACCTCGTTCAAAATGGTGGCGGTCGCGAGTCGCTGAGCCGCCGTGATGGGCCCACGCTGCTCGCAAGGAGGATGGAGAGCGTTGAGGCCCGCAATGGCATCATTGGCACACTGCTCCGTCTGCCGCCTGTGAGCCAGCCTTCGCCTCGTCGACGTAGACGCTGGCGCAGAAGTAGGCGGAGTCGGCTGAATGGAGGGCAGCGGGAACAGATCACGCTGGCGATCTTCAGCTGCTCTCAGCCCAGGAGGGCGTCCCATGTCACACGATCCTCGGACGGTCGGTACCTCCCGATCCCCGAAGGCTGCCCTGGCTGGAGGACGTGAGGTGCGTGCCGCTGGGCCCCCACGGCCACAGTCGGTCGGTACCCCACGACCCTCAGCGCCAGGAACAGCGTGAGGACGGAAGGTGCGTGCCGCCGAGGCGCCACAGGCCTTGTGTCCGTCGCGGGCCGGCCAGCCCCCGCGACTGGGAGCCGTCATGCTCCCTGCCCGCCAGTGCCGCTGGCGTCGGTCCTGCCGCCCCCTTGCCGCGGCGCAGCTTCTGCTCCTCCTTCGCCTTGCGAGCCTCCTTGAGGATCGCGGCCCGGTCGCGCACGCCCGCGGCAACGTGGCGCTGCAAGTCGGGCGCGACCGCGGCGCCCTGGCGATGAGTGGCCCAGCCCATGAACTCGTCGGCCGCGGAGTAGTCCGGGTTCGAGGGAGAGGCCGAGTGAGCGTCTTCTATGACCTGAATCCTGCGCACGACGAGCTCAGCGCTCTGGAGCGCTGGGGCATTGAGCTGATCCACGGTCACCATCGCCTCCAGCACGTGGCACAGAACCTCGTGTTCGTGAACCGAGCGATCTCCATCAGGGATACGCGCCGACCTCAGCCAGTTCGAATGATGAGTGACTGGCGTGAGCCCGGCATTACGATACGACCGCAGCACCCAGTCAGTAGTGCGAGGCCCCTGCAGCATGATGCCGCCCTCGGGCTCGTCCACGATCTGCATGTCCACGGCCTCGCTGTATGGGCGGCGGCGCGCCCCCTGCTGGTTGAAACGCACGGGCAGCACGCGCAGGTCGTCCACGACGAAGGCGTCCACGTCGGCCATGGCCACCTGGCGCGCTCCGACGAAGCCCCCTGCATGAGGCACCAGCGCCAGGTCTCCGTGAACGACGGCGCCCTGCGGGAGCGGGTCAGGCATCTGCTCGCCGCGCCGCATCCCCTGGTAGTCCTCGATCGCCAGCCACACTGTGCCAGCCGCTGCGGGGGCGGCCGCGGCCCCAGCGCGCGGGACTCCTCCCACCACGCCAGCGCCGCGAGGCACGATGGCTCCCTGGGGTGCGGCCGCCGCGGGAGGACCCGCCGCGGGCGCCGCCGCGGCGGCGGGGGCAGCGGCAGCAGGCGGCGCCACGCCCCCGACGAGGAGCGAGCCCTCGCGGATCAGCTGCTGGACCTCCGCCGCCGTCGGCACCTGGCGGAAGCGGTAGACGTGGGCCGGGTTGACACCGGGCGGGGTCGCGCCCTGCGTCCCCGACCACCGCACATCTCTGAGGTCGTCCGACGTCGTATATTCTGCATAGTGGTCTCCATCAGGCGAATACGTGCTGACGAGACCTGGATCCCCTATCGAGACCCCCGTCACGAGCCTTTCATGATACACAGGCGGTCCAGGCAAGTCGTACTGGAAGAGCACATAGTCACCTACTCTCGCCATTGCGTCTCCTGATCAGCTGCAGCTGCTCCCGCGCTCGATCTCCCACTCCCGCCGACTCGGCGCCGGCGCGGCCGCCGCGCCGCCAGACTGCACCGCCCAGCCCGAGCCCCGCGGAGACCCCCGCCAGGTACCCCCAGCAGGCCGAGGGCACGTCAAGCCCGTCAGGCCCGAGCGCCACTCCTGCAGGCGGGCAGGAGAGGTTCACCAGCGGCACGGGGCACGCTGGCGTGGGGCAGGCCAGCGCTGGGCAGACCTGGACGGGGCACGTGACGTTCGCGGGCGGGCACGCCAGCGAGACAGCGGGGCACTGGGGCACCGCCGAGAGCAGGGACTGGCGCAGCGCCAGCAGCTCGAGAGCGCGGATCCCTGCGGTCTGGAAGGACTCGATGAGGGCGGACTGAGCCCCCATCCGGGAAATCCTCTCCTGGAAAAACTTGAGCATAAGTTGCGACATACGGCACTGAACGCAGCAAGAGATCATTAATGTGCAAGCACAACGCATATATATGTATGTAGATACGTAGATGTATGTATGTATGTATGTATGTATGTATGTATGTATGTATGTATGTATGCATGTATGTGTGTGTATGTATGTATGTATGTATGTATGTATGTATGTATGTATATATATATATATATATATATATATATATATATATATATTCATACACAGACACCCTCTGAAGAATTTTGTATGTACCCTCAGGAAGGGTTGCGGTGCATAAAGTCGCTGGCTCCTGATAATAATTCATACACCGCCGCCCTCCCCTGAGGCCCAAGAACAATCCATTGGCGGGTGTCTGCGTATGTAGATGTGTGGAGGAGCCAGGACGGTAGCGCTCTGGGGGGCCACTGCAGCCGTGCGTCGAGACGTCCTCCAATCTCGCCTCTCTGCCGCCTGGTGTGGCAGAGTCCTGGCTGACAAGGCCATGCTTCACGGGGCCCTGATCCCCCGCTCCCTGCAGGACCTGGAGGCCGTCAGGGGTGCCCAGAGGCCTGGGGAAACATCTGGAGGCACAAGAAGGATCACGAGTAGCTCCAAAGATGTTGTTCCCCGAACCTCGGCCCTCGATCTTCAAGTCAGGACCCTCGATACTGGATCCCCTTTCATCGAAGCCCGATGCCCTCACATTCCTCGCACCTCCCCTCGCACCTCCCAATCCCCAGCCCTCTTCCGCTCCCCGGCTGTGTCCCTCTTCCCTCCCCTCTCCTCCTGCCCTCCACCTCCCCCCCTGCAACGGAATGGGACGGACCAGGGGAGCAACCGCTGTCTGCTTTGCATAGGACGGGTAGGCCTGAGCTCTAGTATGCGTGAGCGGCGCCGAGCAACTGCAGTGTGGATAAACAGACCACAGTTGCCCAAACCTGATGGAACAGGCGGCTGCACACCGAGCCTTCGGTCAGCTAAGTCGGATGTCGTCGACTCTGCCAATGTTTCTCATCCGCCTCAGGCTGCGCTAAGATGAACATGTGATGGCTTTGATTGCTCGTTTTTTCTTGTTTTTCTCTCTCTCTCTCTCTCTCTTTATGTATCTCTTTCTCGATAAATATATATATATATAGATACTAGTGTGGACCCGTGGATTAAGTCCACGGAGTTGTGAGGATCGAGTGTCGGTGGCGCGCGCCGCGTTCGGCGTTCGCACCTGGCGCCGACTCTCCTTAGAAGGGGTGGCTCCGGCGGGGGAGGGTGCGGGCGGCTCGGGGCCGTCTTGGGCGGTGGAGGGCGCCTCGAGGGCCGTCTTGGGGGCCGTCTGGAGCCATCTTGGGCGCCATTTGGATCGTCTTGGGGCCATCATGGGCTCTCCTGGGCCCCTCTTGGGCGTGTCTTGGGGTCTTCTCGGGCAGTTCTGGGCGCCT